CCCCGGGGGGGGATTTCTTGCTTTCTATCTCTCTGTCTCTCTCTGTCTTTCTGGAAAGCGCACACACCCTATAGCAAAAACCTCTCCAAAAAATATAGGAAGAAAGAAAGAAAGAAAGAAAGAAAGGAAGGAAAGAAGAAAGAAAGAAGCAAAGAGAAAGGAAGAGAGAAATTTACCCCATTCGATTGTAACTGCCCATTCACATGTTTGTATTCCCCAAGGACCTATAATCTCCTTGATGGCAGGGACAATGTCCAATCCAGTAACTATTCATTTTATAGATCTAGTACCTATCAGTGTCTGGCTTAATTTGGTAGGTACTCAATAAATATTTGTTGAATGAAGATGGCTGGCACTAAATACAATGGAAAGAGGTAAAAAACAAACAAACAAACAAATAAACAACACTATGAATAAATTAAAGACAGCCTCTACTCTATAACTGCACCTGAGTGTTTATTAAAAACACAGATTTCTAAGCACAAGACAAAATCTACTGAATTAGAATTTCTGGGGAGGACCTACGAAACTATATTTATAATAAACATATCTGAAGAATTTTATAACTAGACAAGTTTGTGGAACTGTGCTCTAGAAGAATTTGAGTTTTGTGAGCTAGAAAAAATATAGGGCCAGTGTGACCTGACAGCTGAGAAAGCCCGTACCACATGCCAATCCAGAAAGGAGGGAGAAATAAAGAAGAAGGGATTTCATGGGCTCAGCAGATGGTGGAATGGTTACATCGCTAGACTCCACGTAGTTGACCACGGTTTGAGTCCCAGACCCAGTGGCTTAAACCATGCTAGGCATGTGTGCCCAAAATACCAAGAGGAGAATGGAAGAGAAGGGATTGCAGTGTGGTCATCTCTCCTGGGAGGAGAATTCTCACTTTCCGTCTGTCTCTCTGGTGAGTGCCTGCACCCTATAGCAAAAATCTCATTCTTAAACAAAAAGAAGGTATTTGGGGATGAGCAGGTGGTATAATGGTTATGTCACTGGACTTGGACGTTTTCTACTGTTGTTTGAATCCTGGACTCAGCGGCTTAAACTCACACCAGGCACATGTGCATGCATGACCAAAATCCTGAGAGGAGAAAGGAGGAGAAGAGATTGTGGTGTAGCCATAACCTCAAGGTGTGATTTCTTGCTTTCTGTTTCTCTCTGTCTCTGGTGAGCACATGTGCCCTACAGCAAAAATCTCTTAAAAAAAAAACAAAAAGGGATTTCAGCATAACCTTTCCCCATGACGGGGGTTCCTCTTCTTCCTCAGTCTCTCTGTGGTGAGTGCACACGCCCTCTAGCAAAATAATAATACACACACACACACACACACACACACATATGACATGACTTATGTAAGAATGATATAAACACTGTACCTAATTTGTAGGTATTAAATGAAGTAATAAAGCAAAAATAGCACAGAAATTGGTACATACATATATAACAAGGATATTTTAAAAAACAGAAATTTATAATATGAAAAAAGGCAGCTCACTTTGCTCACCGAAGTCATAGTAAAATGGAAGTGGGCTTCTATGGTGATATCTATTAAACAAAGGCTTACAGACTTGAAAGTAGCATTGCTCTAAAATTTTTCTCACTAAAGATCGAGATGACCCCAAATACATAATACAAGAGGAGGGCCAGCAGGTGGTGTGGTGTTTAAGGTGCTAGATTCCACATGACTGTGCAGTTTGAGTCCTAGACACAACAGCTTGAGAGATAGCCAGGCATGTGTGTGTGCATGTCTGAAATCCCTAGAGGAGAAGGGATTGTAGTGTGACCATGCCCCTGAGGGGTGATTTTTTATTTTCTCTCTCTTTCTCTAGTGAGCACACAGATCTCATATGAGAGTAAAGCAAACAAACAAAGAACAGGAGGCCCTCAAAGAGTTCACAGAAAAATAAAATTGAAGTATGAGTTTATTTTGGTGCAAATCAAATTGAAACCAATGTATAGTTAAAAAATTAATTGTCAGAGAGCATATTTATTCATCAGAGAGATACAGAAAGAAAGAGAAGAGGAGAAAAAAATCCTCCTCCATTGGGATATGGTCATGTTGTCAACTCCTTCCTCATCTATCTCTCCCATGAGAACTTGGGACATGCTTACACATGAGCCCAGTGTGTTTTCCAGGTTGATGGGGTCTGGAGTCAAGCCGTGGTCAGCCATGTATGGTCTGGTTTCCCTTAACTACTAGGCTATGGGTCTGGCTCTACGCGTACTATTTTTATAATACAACATTATTCATGAACTTTTCGAAGACACATCATCTCACTTATTCTGAAAAGTATTTCATTATTAGACAAAAGGTTAAAAAGAAAACCTTCAAAATGAAACTAAATTCACAGTCTTATTATGAGAATGCCTTTCCTGTCCAGAGCTCTTGAATTAACTCTGTTTTTCATCATTATTTTATTTTCACCTCTACCTGACTGCCAATCTAATCCCAAAGCAGTCTCTGGACTTGTCATCAAGGCTGTCCAGGGGCAATTGCAGGCATGAGTGCTGAAGGAAGTGGCATCTGCGTGTCTCTCATTGTCCCTGGTCTCCAACAACTCCAACCCTATAATGTTTTTAATAGTAAATCAAAAGATAATGGAGAACCAGCAGGAAGAGTATCCGAGCAATTATACACATGGATAACTCTGTTGAGAGCAAAAACGGTCATCTTTGAGCTGTGAACTTTTTTGAACCAATATCACAAATACAGGAGAGAGGAGACCTGCCTTGCTAGCAGCTGAAAATGGAAAGAGCCTACAAATTTCAGGGCTTTCATACGTGGCAACAATGTGATGTAGCTGTTAAAACAAACAAAAAAAGCTAGCGTGATAGTCACCCTCTGCTCTGAACTAGCAAAGTTATATCTAGAATTTGTCTTCAGCTTAGGATGTGAAAAAACAAACCAAAAAATGAAGAAAACCCTCCAAATCAGGAATTCTTTTTTGAGAGAGAGATTGCACTGAGTATGCTGTTTCTTTTCAATTCTAATCTTCTGTGGTTTCTATAAGGCTAGTTAAGAAGACAGAATTAAATCTCTATGGTTATGACTCCCTATGACTATCTATGCTATGCTGATTCTTACTACAAAGAATTATTAAATTTCATAATATCAGTTTTGACCTGATTAATATCCACATCTGGATAATAGTAAACTGTGTCATATCAAGATTCCATTACAGTTCCCTTTGTCAGCTTGGAGAAACTCCTGATTTCTCTAGTATAGTTTCACAGAGAATTCTGCATTTCTTTAGGTAAGACAACAGTGTAAACAAGATAGTACCTTGATCTGTGCGGCCATCGTGAAGAGTGGAAATGGGGAGACCCGGGCCTGCGCAGGGGACAAAAGTAAAAACATAGCTTAAGCTTAGTATTAACACATAGCTTTCATCAAGGACTGCTGACAGTATTTGTGGTTAATGTCAACCTCAAGTACATCTTTTAATTCTGCAGCCATTTTTCCCATAGAGAAGTAAATGTCACATTTTAAGTTACACGTAAATACCACATGAGATCAGGGTCCAATCAAAGAACAGATGTGAGTGAAGCATTGCTTGTGCACTTGTCCAAAAGTAATCCTGAATAGTCGAGATCTAGTTCAATGTTTAGGTTGTTTTGGAGGGTAAAATCTAGCATTTTCCCCATGTAATTATACATGCAGAAATACATGTATATATCAATACAGAATATATTTCCTTTTCAAAGATCCTGTGGAAGGTCATGGTCCCTGGTTCCCACAGACCAAGAAGGAGGTTCATGGACCAGAAGTTTAAGAGGAGACAATACTGGGAAGTCTCGCTGTGTGGGAAGGGCCTGAAGGTGAGCCTTAGTGCTCTAACACAGAGACCACAGACAATCCACCTGAAGCTCTGGAGCTGATGGCCTATGGAGTTGTCTCCAAAGGGCAGCAGGCCATGGCAGCAGGCCATGCCTTTATCCTTCAGCATAGAGCAGTCCCTACATGTGGCCTGGGATGAGAGCAATATCCAAGGAAAGAAAAGAGTCTCAGCTGTGAGCTGTTAGCCACCAGCACTCTCAGCAGCTGGAGAGAGAGCCCTAAAGCTAGGAAGTCTGGTGGGAACAAGATAGACAAATAATTAAGCATAAATTATCCATCACTTACTCAAACTACAGAATAAATGATGCCTGGAAATATACTTTTCAAGGGTAAATTGGTCCAGGCAGTCAATGGGCTAAAAGCAACACATGTGGAGGCTGAGGAAGATGCTCACTTGCTGCCCAGATTGTCTCCTTCTACGAGGAGAGAGCATCACTGGCCCCATGTAATACAGAGGAGGATGCTTCCGGTTAGTTCTGAGGTGCCCTGACACCTGTGTTCCTGCAGAGACCATGCTTTTGGTCAGCTCTTCAGTACTGTAAATATGGCAGTGCCAGAACTCATGAGGGAAGCCTGTGGCTGTCCAGTCAGACCCATGTTTGTGAGAGTAATTCTGGGCTGCAATACTAGGAAGCCGCACGTCTTGGCCACATTTTCCAACTAGCTTTTGCAGGTAATCAAGCTAGTATTTTGATTTCCTGCTTGACTCCTCAGGCTAACTTGGGAATAGAATAAAGAGACATTATGTATTAGGTTCCCTCAATAGCTAGCAGTTCTTATGTGGCATCTCAGAATTTTATATAATTGCTGAAATTTTCATTTGAGTTGGTAGCTTTTCTTCGAAGTTATCAACAGGGATAAGCATGCATACTACATTCTTGGCCAGAATATAATGAGATGAGACAGAAACCTAAATGTCCAAGCTTTAATCCATCAACATCCACAGTGTGGAATATTCATGGGTGTACATTTCCAGTAATGAAAACACACATATAATTTTTGCTTAAACTCTAAGACAAATGACTGCTCTTGACATTGTGGCCTGAGGGTGTGGTCCCCGTGGCCTAAGCAGCAGTCGTATAGAATTTATCCTTTGCAGTGCTTTTGTTCCATCAGCATCATCAATACGATATTGCCTGTTTTAATCTTGTCATCTGGGACTTACTCACCACCCCTCTAGAGAGTTTGAAGTTACATAATGAGGCTTTACTCTTAGTCCTAAAGGGAAAGATTTCAAGGTTTTTCCTAGGATGGTGCAGTGACTCATTTTACTGGAGCTTCAAAAACACCAGACGATGTGATGCTTCCCACACAGTATATTTTTTGCTAAATGGGAAATTACCATACTGCCGAGGAAGAGTGAGTGGTGGAAAAGTCAGGCGATTCCAGTTCTAGAAAGGGCTCTTCCACCAACTTTTGATGAACGTGTAGTCCTTGATTCCTTATTTTTGTAGTGAGTACTTAGGCTCAAGTGGATATTAGGAAGACAAAATGATATAAAATGTGGCATAGTGTTTTCCAAAAAGTTAAAGTATTGTACTAAGGAAGAACGGATGTGAATACAAATGCATGTAAGTGTAATGTCACTGATGCCTTTATCGGTAAATAGAGCTGCAAAATGAGTTTTTTGGTAGACCCTGCAAAAGAGAGCAATGTGCTGATATTCCCTAACACCTATGTTTATTCCAAAAACATTGCCCGTTCATTGTGCATTAGTCATTCTTCTTGGTCTTATGACTACAAAGATGAAAAGAAAGCAGCCCCTGCCTTCCAGAAGATAAACATAGCTGAACAGACAATTCTGTATGGTTAGTTCACTGATACTGTGTGCTTGGCATGTAAGCTTTCAAGATATGTTATGTAAATACATAGCTTGGGTTGAAAAATGTTGCATATAACTTGAGAAGGGCATTTAATGCATACCTTTAAATGCCATGACTACAATCAGCCCATATGGTTATGAACAGCAATCTCTTGACATTTCAATGATGCCGCTGACCAAACATTTTATGAAAGTGTTATTTCAAACTGACATCTTACACCATCTTGAAGGGAGCATTTGGGCTAAAATGCTTATTCATGTCCGTATATTCAAATGAGCTATGACTCAGGTTCTGGGGCCAGGTGGCTGGATTGAGAGAATTAGCAAGACAGGGTAGCTTTCATTCTGGTTCCCTTCACAGGAACTTCAGGGCCTTTGCAATGAGCAGGGATCTCAATCAGTCAAAGAGTCCATTTGTTTTTATGCCACCACTCTTACATGTTGATTCCAGAAACTGGAGGGTGGTATGCATTATTATAATACCTCTCACCAAGGGCTTCACTCCCCATCCCTAAATGACGATTAGCTGGGAGTAAGAGTCAGAGATTGGGGAATTAGAGGTTTCCCAAATCGGTTTTCTAAATCCCCATCATGACCATCAGAACCCCCCAAAATTTCATGTATCTATACTGGTCTCTTCACCTCACCTGTTTTATTGCTTGCCATATGTTCAAGATATAAATAAAACACTGCACATAGAAGTATTAACTGGATGTACACATGGCTCAGACAATTTAGAAATGTTTTGTGTATTTTGTTACCTATGAGTTTTAAAAAGTTGAACGAATTACTTATGATACTTTCCAGACTTAGGAAAAACATACCGAGTGACAAAGGTTTAGTCTCTGTTCCCATTGAAGCTATCATTCAAAGACTGATTGACTTCCCATGGAGGAACCTGAGATTTCTGTACCATGGACTTGTCCCTTGGATATTAAGAGTTTGAATATCTCTGTATAAAATGAGCCAAAGTCCAGCAACCATGTTATTAGAGAATGCTTCTTTTGGATAATACTGCTCAAATCCTTTGATAGATAGCTGGTAGATTGTGTCTGCATACATTGCTATGCTACGAAATGTAATGATTAAAAACATAGAATTGACAAGAAACAGATTCTTGCTTTAATTCTGGCTAATGTTTGTCATCAGTGTAGACCTTGGCAAGCTACTCTCATTTTCCTAAATTACGGAAAAATAAGATAATAAAACTTTTTGCTACCTTCTTTTAATTTTTTAAAATAAGTGTTAGATGATATCCTTACATATAACAAGTACCCAATAACCTGTAGCTATGAATGTCTTAGCAAGTGGTGAAGTGGATGAAGACAATGGCAGTGGGATGATAATGCTTAAGTTTGGTCCATTACCTACCGTAACACACAAGTGCATAGTACTTGGCATAGTCGCTGAAAGTTGCTGTGTAATATTGGCACCTTTCTTTCCTTAGATGGCAAGTAATGCACTTCTTGCTTGGAGGACGGCTTCCAATGCTAATTCTAGAGGGAAATGAAAATAAAACTAAGCTGAAATTTTGAGATTGTATTTATCAAAATGTACTACTCCATGTAAAGTGACTAATTTACATATTGACATCAAACCCACACTATTTTTCTGTTGCCAATAACATTTAAAGTAAAGGGGAATCACAGTATTTTGATATAGTGTGATTTTTGATCCATCTTTGCCTGAATAGGCACAAACTTTGAGGAAAAAAATCTCTATGGCTTTCTTGGGGTGGGGGAAATATTGAACATCCCAAATGACAGTGAGGTGGTCACTTCCCATAGCTATTAATCTCTCAGGTTTTACATAGTAGCTCTTCATCTTCCTATCTCTCTCTTTCTGCCCCATGGCAAAATGTACAAGGAAAATCTGGCACTATCACTATGATATATCTTCATGTATCTGGAAGAAGAAATTAGTAATAAGCAAATTAGAAATAAGAAACGAAGCTTCTAAGACCCTCCTGTGCCTTCCATTTCTTTCAGAAGAGACATGGGCTCTTAAAATTCAATCTGGAGATGTTCTCACACAGATCCTTACACAAACCAATCTGTACTTACCAGATTGGTGCCACATTCACCCACAGAGCCCTCAGCATGGCTCCTGAATAAGATAATTAGCCTTTTTATTTTTTAAATAGTGATTTATTTTATTTATCATTATCATTATTTTAAAATTTGTTATAGGGCACATGTGCTCATCAGGGGGTGGGGGAGAGTAGAAATGAGAAAGCAAACCACAAGTCCAGGACTTGAACCACTGTCAGCCATGTAGGAGTCCAGTGCCTTAATTGTCACAGCACCTACTGGCCCCTAAAATGACTAGCTTTAATATGAGAAGATTTTGAAAAAGTTCATGGAAAACACATATTATGAAAACCTATGCATGATACCAAAATAAGTTTTTTTTTGTTTTTTTTTTTTGAGAGGGAGATTTTTGTTATAGGGTACATGTGCTCACCAGAGCAATACAGAGCAACAGAAAGCTAGAAATCACCCCCCAGGGGGAATGGCCATACAACAATCCCTTCTCTTCCAGTCTCTTCTTGGGATCTTGGGCACACCTGTACACATGCCCAATGTAAGTTTTAAGCTACCAGGTTCAGGACTTAAACCATGGTCAACTCCATAGGAGTCCAGCAATGTAACTATTATGCCATTTGCTGGTCCCACAAGCTCATATTTTAATTCCATTTTTCTATACTCTGTTTTTTCCCCATGAAGTCTCCTTATATTTAGATGTCTAGACTTGACTCCAAATTCTCACAATCAGTATCCCATTTGAAGGAGATAACATGGCGTTATGCCAGGATGGAGATGGGCTGGGAACTCCTTGGTTATCTGTGCCAATTCAAGACTTCCTTCTGATGATGCCAGAGACATTGCTGAATCCAGAAAGAGATTCTGCCTAATAGGTAAGGTAAGATCATGACCCAGGAAGGAATAGGAATTTAATAGAGGGAAAATTTCTTGTTTCCTCCAGCAGAGTTAGTATTCATGTTCATATTTTGGTGTGATCTTGAAAATACAAATAAAAGGTAAGAATGCACATGCCCAGTACAAATTCTGGCTCCAACAATATTATCTGCCTCACAGAGTTGTGGGGATTTAATAGTCACAATTGTAAATTAGACAAAAGGTCCATAGCATATAGCACACCACGAGGACATCATTGCTATTGTGTTGTGCTTGTGTCCACATCCGAAAGAGCGTGTTGAGGGCACCACTCCCACCAAGGCGACAACTAATGTGAACCTAGACTCTAGTATGGTAACGGCTGTGCTTATGCTACAGTGAGGCATAGTGAAATACATCTCACATTATGAGGATAAAATCAGCCCCTCAGACAAACAGGTACTTAATAAATAGGTGTTAAGTAAATAGATGTGTTGAATTACCTCTAAATTAGTTGAAATATTTAGTACATGTCAATAGTATTTAGTAGTTATGTCAGCCTGAGAATTTCAAGTTTTTTACTTTTGAAAACAAATATTTTGAGTGGGCCAATATTTTTGGGGAGTTTTTTAAAATACTAATTTAGAACACAACATTCTATGAATGTTCCTTTTTTAAAAAAATTTTGCCAGGAGGCATGTGCACTCACCAGAGAGAGACAGAGAGACAGAGAAAGATAGATAGAGGTAGAAAGCACCCCTACATGGGGCATGTCATGCCATAATCCCTTCTCCTTCATTTCTCCCTTCTTTCAAGATTTTGCATACGCAGGCACATTTGCCTGACATTTTTATTAAGCTGCCGGGTCTGGGACATGAACTAAGTAGTTGGCCATATGGGATCCAGCTCCTTTAACCAGCAGGCCATGGACTGTCCCTGTTAATATTCTATCTAAATTGGTAAATGATTTTTATTTCATTTTATACTTTAAAAATATTCTCTATCTTCTGAAGACTGTGACATATTTTTAGTAGAATATTAATATAGATAAATACCAGAATGAATTGAAAGAAATTACCTGTAAATATTTCTCCTTCCAGGATAACCTTCGAATTCATTGCTAGAATAAAACCTGAAAGTTCAGAAGTTATTAAGCATTGATGACTAAATGATAATAGAATTGTTAGTACTAATATAGTAAGCAATATAGGCAAATATTCATCCAATGAAACTTTATTAACTGGCACCTAGGTACACAAATCACTGCTATTTATAAATTCCAAATCATCAGACAAACACTAAAGTCTACAGAGTTACCTTTTTTTTTTTTTGGAGAGATTTTCACTGTAGGGCGCGTGCACTCGCCAGACAGACAAAGAGAGACATAGAGACAGAAAGCGAGAAATCACCCCCCAGGGGGATGGTCACACCGCAATCCCTTCTCCATTCTCCTCTCACGGGATCTTGGGCACGCACGCACACGCGCCCGGCGTGAGTTTTAAGCCACCGGGTCCGGGACACGAACCGCGGTCGACTACGTGGGAGTCCAGCAACATAGCCATTACGCTAACTGCTGGTTTCCCCCCTTTTTTTAAAAAAAAATTACCAAAGGGCATATGTGCTCACCAAAGAGCTGTAGAGAGAGGGAGGATGAGAAGGCACCTCACCAATACGATTTGGACATGCTACAGTCTTTCCTCCTCTATTTCTCCATCCCAGCGAGATTTTGGGGGCACATATAAGCACATGCCCAGTGTGTTTTACAAATCCCCAGGGCTAGGATTCAAACTGTGTAATACGCTATATGGGACCCAGCTCCCTTAATAAGTAGGCTATAGAGTCATCTCGAGTACTCCTTTTAATTATAATCTATTCTGGGACCAGCAGTTAGCATAATGGCTATGTCGCTGGACTCCCATGTAGCTGACTGTGGTTCAAGTCCCGGACCAGGTAGCTTAAACTCACACCGGGGGAGTGTGCATGCGTGCCCAAGATCCCGAGAGGAGAATGGAGGAGAAGGGATTGTGGCGTGGCCGTCCCCCCGGGGGGTGATTTCTGTCTCTCTGTCTCTCTGTCTTTCTGGCGAGCACACGCGCCCTATAGCAAAAACCTCTCCCCCCCAAAAAAAAGAAAAAGAAAAAGAAAAAAAATTATAGTCTGTTCTATTCTGACTCATTAATTATGAGTCATGGAAAATAAGCTAGAATGCTTGATTAATATTACATTTTTCCATTTCCTGATTAATAAGTTACTGGTATCTCTATACTATTTTAATTTTGTCTAGGATTCTGAATTTACTGAATTTTACAGAAGACCTGACAGTAGGTCAGTTTCAGGAAAACGCATTCACACTAGGATGTAGTACAAAGGGCATGTTGATTTACCCGGACAAAAAACAAGTTGCAAGAGAGCAGCATACCTGTTCTTTAAGCATCTAGGTGCCAGTCCTAACGTGTCTTAATATAGTCATGAAGTGGGAAACCCAGTTTAATGACATGATTTTCACTGCTTTGTGAGTTCACCTGAATATCACAAAATAGCTGTTTTTATGTTTTTGTTTTTGGAAGAGTCTAATAATAGAGTGTGAAACATTTAGAATAATCTAAGTTTATTTTAACTCAGAGTGATCCAGCTGTCCAGTTTACTTCTGTGTCTTCAGTACCATAAAAATCTTATTAATCCCAAGGAAAAGGCAACAGAATATAGTTCATTCCTAGTATTCAATTCATCTTATTTTGTTTTTGTTTTGTTTTTCCCTTAGGGTGTGTGAACTCACCAGGGGAAGAGAGGGAGAGAAAGAGAGGGAAAGTGAGAAGTCACCCCCAAGGGGGGATGGCTATGCCACAATCCTTTCTCCTCCACTTTCTTCCCAGGGTCTTGGGCATGCATGCATATGCTCCTGGTGTGAATTTCAAGCCACTGGGTCTGGGAATCAAATCATGGTCAGCCGTGTGGGACTCCATGTGGGAGTGCAGCGATGTAAACACTATGCCATCTGCTGCCCCCCCCCCAATTCATCTTCTAAACTAGCATCTTTGTATATAAATTTATTAACTTCACATGACTCCAAGCATCTCTTTCATTGCCTTTCTCACATCATCTCAAACTACCTGTGAATCAACTGCTCAATAGCTTTCCCAGTCTCCTGGAGCTTTTTACTTATATCAGAGATTCCCCAGTTGTCTTCATTTTTAACATTCGCGGCAGACTCCACTTTCCCTTTCCTCTTTCTTTTCCTTCACCTCCAGTAATTCACCAGTCACCTGTCTTTACCATATAGCACTTCCTCTCACTCATTTACCAAAGATGTATTAAACTCCTCCTCCCTGTCCGACACTGTGCTAAGTGCCAAGGATACAAAAAGAAAAGAAGCAACACTTTACTTGCAGGATCTGTACTGTATTGCCACTATTCAAGCTTGGTTCTCTGTTATCTCAGGCCATATGATCATAGCAGGTTCTTCCCTATCTCCTAAACATGTTCTAGCTGAGATAAATCTCCCTCTTGCCACTTCCCTTACTCTAGTGATTTCAATGGCTGCTTCCTGTAAAGTCCAAACTCCAGTGCTCACCATTCAAAGGCTTTCATAGACTGACACTAGGTTTCTTACAGGTTTTTATCCAGCGAGTCTGGACTAATAGTTCTCTCCTTTTTTTCCAGCTAATAACAGGCAGATTGTAAATACTAAGAGAGTACCCCTGTGTGTAGACTATCTTTGAAGTGAGAGAAAGACTGTTGGTTAGCTGAGTTTTATCATAAATTATTATTTTAAGATGGCTTACTTAGTACGTAGAGTAGACTGTAAGGAATTATAAGGAAGAAGTGTCGTATGAGGTTAACAAGAGCTTCAAATTTAAGGTGCTTTAGGCTTCAATCCCAGTCTGTCACTCACCAACTGTGTGCTCTTTGGCCAAGTTAATTTTTCTGATTATGCTTTCAGATTTTTCATCTGTAAATTTGGGATAATCATTACAGTATCTAGTACTATAAAGTATCAGCTCAATAAATGATAGCTTTTATAGATAATAATAATCTTAATCTTATGTAACAGTGAATCACGACAAAAGAGTCTCTATATTATGCATTGTCTTTCATAGAATTTTGAAGCCTGCTTCCTGCTTCAAGTGCTGAAGAGCAAAATTTGCCTTCAAAATTAATTACTTAAAAATGTATATACTATATATATATATATATATAATTATCTGCCAAGTATCAGAAACAAAGAACTATCTACTAAAGATTCTTTCCAAAAGGAAATCATGTTGACTAGTGATTAAAGAATGTGCAACTTAGAGAAATCACAGCTATCTGAATTAAACTATAGAGTAACAAAAATGCTCTTAACTAAAAGAGATGGTACAGTATCATGTGTATGTCCATCAGTGCCAATTAAAACCTGAATGGTGCATCGTGCTTCATGCAATACTTACAGTGAATCCTGTGTTACTCTGAATATATTTATGGCCTCCCACTTGCCACTTGTAATTTGAATAGCATTTTCCTATAAAAAGACAAACATTATGTTGTGTGAAGCTGAGCGTTATTTGAGCAACCTCAAGTGAATGATCTTTGAGGAGATAAATCTTGGAAGGAACGTACCACAGTGTCTTTGATATAGTGAATATGTTTGTAGCCATCCTTGTCGCTAAATATTTTGTAGTATGAAATGGCATCATAGCTGAAAACTGGTGTTGAAACAAAGAACTGGCAAAAATGAACAAAGGTTATGTTCAGAAGACAAACCAAAGTAAAACTATAGATTTAAACAAAACAAAAAAAAAACAATGTATGGTCATGTTTATAGGAATCAGAATGCCTTTCCTCTTCTGTCTTCTGTCACTCAGATTTGAAATTCTATTCTTTCCAATACACAGCTTTTCTAGTACTTCTAACAGGCACTTGAACATTCCAAATACTTCTTGGTTGCTACTACCTACTTCTGGATTTGCAACGTTCAGTCTGATTGAATTTCTATGTTCTGAGATTATGTGGTTTCAAGTAAAATTAAAGAAATCACAAATGAATGCCACTATTAAATCAAACCAAATTTTAAAATAAGGTATTTGGTAAAAGTATGACTCTCAATAAAGCTTATAGTCCTTTTAATCCTTGACTTGTCTGATGCCAAGCACCTAATATCAATGATTCAATAAAAGCATTTTGGAGACCAGCAGTTGCTATAATGGCTATGTCCCTGGACTCCCATGTAGTTGACCATGGTTTGAGTCCTGGATCCGGTGGCTTAAACTCATGCTGGAAGCGTGTGTGTATGTGCTCAAAATCCTGAGAGGAGAATGGAGGAGAAGGGATTGCGGTGTGGGCATCCCCCATGGGGGGCGGAGTGATTTCTCGCTTTCTGTCTCTCTGTCTCTCTTTGTCTTTCTGGGGAGCGCACGCACCCTATAGCAAAAAACTCTCCCCAAAATAATAATAACAAAAAAGGCATTTTGAAGATTACAATATCATGACCTTCTGGCCACAATATTTAATGGTGTACTGGGTTTTCTGGACATGAGAGGAAGATATTACCCATGATGAAGGATGTTTACCCCTTGAGCTCAGGAAGCAGACTGAATCTCATTGACCTGGTTTATCTTCTACAAGGGCATGCCCCCACTTAATTACCTTAAGTGTGCCAGTATTCTAGTGCACCTTGGAACAGAGAAAGCCACATCTCAATGTTGACCATGGTTTGAGTCCTGGATCCGGTGGCTTAAACTCATGCTGGAAGCGTGTGTGTATGTGCTCAAAATCCTGAGAGGAGAATGGAGGAGAAGGGATTGCGGTGTGGGCATCCCCCATGGGGGGCGGAGTGATTTCTCGCTTTCTGTCTCTCTGTCTCTCTTTGTCTTTCTGGGGAGCGCACGCACCCTATAGCAAAAAACTCTCCCCAAAATAATAATAACAAAAAAGGCATTTTGAAGATTACAATATCATGACCTTCTGGCCACAATATTTAATGGTGTACTGGGTTTTCTGGACATGAGAGGAAGATATTACCCATGATGAAGGATGTTTACCCCTTGAGCTCAGGAAGCAGACTGAATCTCATTGACCTGGTTTATCTTCTACAAGGGCATGCCCCCACTTAATTACCTTAAGTGTGCCAGTATTCTAGTGCACCTTGGAACAGAGAAAGCCACATCTCAATATCCTAAATGGTACAGATAACTGAAATTCTACAAATGCCCTTACACCAAGTTTTAGCCAATAGTTTCATGTTTCTCCCATTAAACACACACACACACACACACACACACACACACACACACAAGGAAATCACTTGTCTTATATTTGCTGACTTCATCTTTTTTTCTGGATCCTTATTTGGTGAAATGATGGTAAATTGGCAGAAAAAAAATTACTTGAGGAAAGGCCTACTCTACATCATGCAGAGTAGATCTTCCCACAACTAATTATAAACAACTCTCTCTGGTTGGCTTCCCTCCAAATGACAGTGAGCCATGATCCTCAGCTCCTTCAGAACTGCATGACACAAGAACAAACAAAAGACCACTTCAGTGCACTTTAGCTATGAACAGCTACCTTGCTGGTAACCAGTTTTTAAGTAAGAAGAGAGCAAGGGAAGTAGCCGTAGTCTTGTTAATGATGGCCTCATGTATGTTCTGATACTTCATGCCTTTTTGATAAAAATTAATCATTATCTTCCTTAAGATAATAGTGATTGTATGGCACTAAAATGCAACTTATTTAAGGTGATTTCTATAGTTGGATGAATAGTGTTCTTCCAAAATTCATTGTCACCTGGAATTGTGACCCTATTTGGAAATCGGGTCTTTGCAGACTTAATCAAGGTAAGGATTAAATATGTGAATATACTGGATTAGGGTGGCCTTAAATCTAACGACAAGTGTTCTAATAAGAAAAAAAAGAGAACACAAAGACATCTAGAGACATAGGGAAGAAAACTATATAAATTTCTGTTGGTTTAGGCCACCAAGTCTGTGGTAATTTAGTATAGCAATCCTATGAAACTAATGTAGTGTCCTAAGTTTTATCACATTGGCATAGAATTGATAAGTATGTTACATTAAATGAGCAGGATACCATTAGCCTTCGGCTGCATCCATATTTTGAGTTTCAATGTAATCAACTGCAACCTAATTTAGGAGTATAATAAATAGCTGTGTTTCAGCCAATCATAAACAGCCGACTCATCACACCATGCCCAAATAAGGCAGGTTTTAGTAGTAGCCAATCAGGTAATTTCTCTACTTTGTTTCTATGTTTGGTCTATAAAAGCTTGCTGCTCATTTTGCTGGGTGGAGCTCTTTGATCCACTTATTCAGAGTGCTGCCTGATTACTGAAGGGAATTCTTAAAAGGTTTTGTTCTGGGCCATCTGGAAGTGTGGTAGTTAAGGAGGCTGGATCCCGCATAGCTGACTGCACATTTTGAGTCCCAGTGGGTTGAAAACACACCAGGCATGTGTACATGCACAAATTCTATGAGGAGACTAGAGGAGAAAAGGTTGCACATGGCTACTCTGCAGGAGAGGTTTTCTCACTTTTCATCTATCTCTCTCTGGCCAGCACCTGTACCCTATGTCAAATGAAAAAAAAAAAATTAAAGGTTTTGCTCTAGATTCACTTTTTATGTTTACTGAAAAGAAGAAAATAACAGGACAGAGTGTTATGCTTTAAGATATTAGAATCAGGTAAACAGGAAGAACATTTCTGCTAAGCCAAGACCGTTATCATCTTCCCTTTCTTATATCCATCAAAAACAGCAATTCCTCTTCTGTAATTTAGAAGGTTTATTGGCTTAGAATAGATTTTTTTTTTTTTTGGAGAGATTTTCACTGTAGGGCGCGTGCGCTCGCCAGAGACAGAGAGAGACATAGAGACAGAAAGCGAGAAATCACCCCCCAGGGGGGATGGTCACGCCGCAATCCCTTCTCCTCCATTCTCCTCTCGGGATCTTGGGCACACACGCACACGTGCCTAGTGTGAGTTTTAAGCCACCGGGTCCGGGACACGAACCGCGGTCGACTACGTGGGAGTCCAGCGACATAGCCATTACGCTAACTGCTGGTTCCCTTGGCTTAGAATAGATTTTTAAGAGATTAAAAATAGTACATTAAAAAAATGATTCCCAACAGAATTCTAAAACTACAAATTTTAACATGATTTGTCAAAAAAAAATCACATCCCCACTACAGAAATCATTTCTTAATTGCTTTAGTTTACCATCACTTTTAATTTAAGGACCTTGTCTTCTATCAAAGGATACATAGGTGTAACTAAGAATATTTAAAATTTGTTCTATAGCTTTATAACATCATTCATTCATTTATTCATCTAGCTCATGTTTGCCAAGAATGCAAGGTTGGTCCAATATAGATTTAAAAATGATTGGGATACAATTGACCTTAAGAGGTTTATAAATAGGAGCTGTCAAAAGGTGCATTCTAAAATGTGTCAATGTTTTGAATACCAATATTTTCAGAATTAATGTATATGAATGGCCAAAGTAATGTCATTAACAAGGTTGTTAGTATCAACGTTAATCTATTTGTAAAATCACATCATTCATATTCCTTTATAATTTAGTTATATTATCATCATGGAGAACCCAACTACAGGATGTTTTAAAGCACTCTTCCTTCCTTTCATTCTTTTTTTTTTTTTTTAATTGCCAGCAGGTGCTTATGCTTGCCAGAGATGGAGTGACAGAGAGAGATGGAGAAAGCACTCCGCAGTGGGGCACAATCACTCTGCAATCCCTTCTCTTCCATTTCTCCATCCCAACAGAATTTTGGGCATGCATGCACACATGCCCAGTGCATTTTTCAAGCTACCAGGGACAGAACTCCAATGGCAGTTGGTCATGTGGGATCCAGATCTCTTAACCATGAGGCCACAGGCTAACCCTTTGTTCTTATTCTTTAGTAGAAATCTTTGCAATGGGAGTAAATTAATAGACTAAACTCTAATTTCTCAAATTTTAGGTTATTGATCTAGGAATTACTTTTTTAGGTGGTGAGTTTATTATTGGTCAACAGTCCAGAAAATGTAAAGAATACTTTTATTTTTTTCATTGAAAACTACTAATTTTTCCTGTCATGTTTAGTATGGTAGCAAAAAGTGAATTAAACTGGGACTTTGCTTTTTTTTCAGATTTTTGCTATAGGGCAACAGTACTCAGAGAGACAAAAAAGAGACAGAAAAGTGAGAAATCACCCCCAGGGGGAATGGCCATGCTTCAGTCCCTTCTCCTACATTCTCCTTTCAAGATTTGGGGCACTCACACACACACACCTGGTGTGAGGTTGAAGTTGCCAGGTCTGGCCCTTGAACCACAGTGAACTTACATAGGAGGCCAGTGACGTAACCTTTATGCCATCTGCTGGTCCTATGTTTATTTATTGTTTTTAAAAGTTTTTGTTTTAAGGCACATGCACTTGCTGGAGAGACAGTGAAAGGGAAAGTGAGAAATCATCCCTCAGGGGGACGGCCATGCCATGATCCCTTTCTTTTCATTTCCTCCTGGGATTTTGGGCATGCAAGCACATAATTCCAGCATGATTTTCAAGCCACCAGCTCCAGGACTTGAACGGAGGTTGGCTATGTGGGAGTCCAGGATCTTAACCACTATACCACCTGCTAACCCCTTTTCTGTTTTGTTTTCTGTTCCTCACATAGAATATAAAATACAATTGATACATCCCTAAAATATGATTTTTTACTCTAAGGATCCTCACAAATCACTTAATATATCTATTGAAGACTTCCAGATATATGACCACAAACCATAACAAAATGCAGGTTTTCTTAATAGATCCCAAATCACCACTAAAATATGTAATAAATATATACTACATACAATTTGGCTCAGTATATTAGTTTTTTTGCCATAGGGTGTGTGGGGAGCATGCGGTCAGCCATATGAGAATCCAGCACCTTAGCTACCACATCATCTGCTGGCTTCAGCTCATAAAAAATTTAACAACAACAAGAAAAGTATTGTCTTCAAATTACAAGAGTAGCCCATGTGTTTCTATCTCTTGGATTCAGATGGCTGGCAATTATTCAGATGATTTTAGAAGATCGGGGATTCTTTATTGTGTTTGTTTAATAGGTAATACTAGCTGGAGGTATCAGAGAAAAATTTCCATTGTAACACTTAAAGTTGGAACATGAGGAATATGATTTTTTTCTCAATAGAATTCCACAACTATAGACACTGAAATTGTCTGGCACAAAATCACTGAAGGAATCACTGACTTTGTGTTTTTTACCTTGATATTTTTCCTGTGAAAACAAGTAGTGCCAGTTTGGATACATTGCAAAAAGTCCTTTGAGAGCTGAGAATGTGTCAAGTTTCATTAAAATATAAGGAAAAGATAGCAAAATCATACTCCACCAGCCCATCCAGTTCTGCTTTCTTCTACATGCTCCTGGGTCTACAAGACAAAATATCAGAGCAAACATAGAATTAGAAGAATATTTTCTGCTGAATATAATTGGACATTTGCAATCAGTTAGATTGACTTATCTTAGTGTTCCATTGTTAATTAACTATATAACTTCAAGCTGGAATTTAAGAGTGCTATATTAAAAAATCTTATGCCAAAGGTCTTCACAAAGTTCATAGAAAATATATATTATTAAAAACTATGCATGCATTTTATTTATTCAAAATAAACTTCTAAATTATTTCTATTTTCCACGAACTTTTTGGAGTCTCCTGACATAACAGTGCAATTGCATACACATGGGTAATCTGAGTGCTAGATCTTACTGTAGATCTTTTATAATTTTGGTTAAATCCTCCATGAGGCAGTGATTTGGAATTGTCACATTGGAGGCCCAATACAACCCAACACTTGATGCAGTTTAGGGTAAAACTGAATTTCACATTGAAACTTAAACTTTTTATTTTCTCAGTCTTGTGAAGTAATGAGAGATTTTAAAATTTACACTGAATCATATTTTTGGTTTCTATTTTAACATAATCCTATTTTTTCACTTACTGAATAAATATTTAGAAGCCTAAAAGGATAAGTAGCTTTTCTAGAGAAATAATTATTGAAAGAAGGATATTCTAGGTAGAATGAATCACATTAAAACCAGACCAGCTTAGTAAACCACAGACAGTTAGGTATAGCTGAGCAGAGAGTTACCACAAGAAGAGGTGGAGGATGAGGGAAGATGCATAGGTATTAGCAACATCTTAAAAAACTTTTGTTTCTAAGAAGTTTGGACTTCTGTAGATAAATCCATTGAAGGACCTCAAAATCACAATTTGGAAAATATAATTGTGAGAATTGGATTAGAAATGGGTAAGATGAAAAGAGGCAGAGAGAGAGACCAACTGGAAGGCAAATCGAATGTATGGGAACATTATGATAAAGACCTAAATCAAAGTCATAATAAAGAGGATAGAGAATAGAACACGTCATCTAAGTAATTTAAAGGTTCAAATACTCAGAAATTAATTTGAAGGTTATTGGCAAGCAGTAACAGAAACCGCTGATGTAGATAAAATCCACCTAAAGACAGTAAGCAGGGAGTAGTGACAGAGACAGCAGGAAAATTAGCAGGCCATTTCCTTTGTCCAGTAGGGCTATCCCTAGGTCACATTTCCCAGCCTTCTTTCCAGTTAAATGTGGTCATGTGATAAGTTCTAATCGATGGTGTTTGAGCAGAAATGACTATGCTACTTCTAGGCTTGACTTAGCAAAATTTCTCGTACATGGTCTACCTTTTTTTTTTTTTTTTCCTTCCTCCAGCTGAATGTTCTTGGTCAGGTTTGAATAGCCTCAGAATAGTGTTGGAAGCCACTGGATGAAGATAACAAATGACATCACTTTGTTCCTAAATGAGTATATGGAGCAGAAGATCCCATTTTCCACCTTTTACCACTTACCTGGACTCAATCTTGGCTAACTAATAAATGAGCAATAAACTTCTACTGTATTAACCCACTAATTATTAGAGATTTTTGTTGTTATTGTTATAGCAGTTAGCCTACCTTATGAATACATTAGCTTGGAGAATAAAAAGATTTCTAGATCAGTCAGAAGAAGAGCTGGAAAGGAAAAGAATAGTCAATAAAGTAGAAAGAAAACCACAATAAGGAATACTGTCATGAAAGGCAAAGAGATAATAATTTTAAGAAAATGGTTTGGACTTTCTACTAGAGGGACAGGCACAAGCTTCAGAGAGAATAAGTAAGTTACGACCTGAAAATATATGAGACTTAGAAATGTATTATTTTTAGACACAAATATAAATTAGTATTAATCTCCTTTCAAAAGAGAAAGAAATGTCAACATATTTCTCTTTCAACCATGAATTTCTTAATAAATTTTATACATGTAAATCTATTATATTATAGTAGTTGTTGCCAGTTTCCTTCTTTCTTTGTTTTGGGCATAACTCCCAACATGAATAAAATGATGCTGTGTCATCATAAATATTATATGCTTTGAAAACACACACACACATACACACATGCTAATGATAAGTATAGTAACTAAAAAGTCAACGCTGTTGTTCTCAAATTGGAAAATAAGTTCCATGTGTTTATCAAACTATTTTGAAAGAGTTGTTTAGAAATCCTAAGGTTGTTCAGATATAGTATTCTAAATTTAATCACTATTTTCCTGCTTTAAAACTAAATCTCTATTCCAGGGGTTCTCACACCTCATTAAAGGAGCATCTTAAATATTCTGATATTTGGATTAAAACTGTCTCAGATCATCACAAATTAGAATCTGAGATTCCAAAGCAATCTTTTTTTTTTTTTCTTATAGGGGGCATGCACTCACTAGGGAGATACAGAGACAGAGACAGAGAGAGAGAGGGAAAGTGAGAAATCATCCCCTAAGGGGATTGACTACACTGCAATCCCTTCTCTTCCTTTATCCTTTTGGGATTTTGGTCATGCACGCACATGTGCTTAGCATGATTTTCAAGTCTCCGGGTCTGGGACTCTAACCACAGAGTCCTCCTCATGGGATCTAGTGTCTTAACCTCCACCCCACCTGCTGACCCTTCAATCATAGTTTTTAAACACCTAGTTTTAGGCATGAAAACTGTATCTAAATAATAAATCTCATAGTTTTTGAACAAGTGAAATTAAAGCAATAGTTTCTAATACACAGATTTACAATGAATATATTAAAGCGATATTCACCCAGAGCTGACTAATCAGACCAGTTGTTTCTATCTAACTAGCATTATGAAGATAAGCATACCTCTTTCATTTGCCTAACATACTGCATTAAACTCAAAATCTTTCTGCTTTGTATATCAAAATAAAAATAAGATAAAAATAAGCTTCTAACATATTCCATCAAAATTAGTCAAGCCTTTTGCAGACACAGTAGTGATTAAAATATATTTTTAGCCTGAATAATGTTGACTATTATAGTCCTGATGTATTTCCAAACAGATTCATATGACTTTATTCTTGCAAAACATAATGTCCTAATTTCTAAATGGATTTTAGTGTTTACTTTGATTGCTCTCTACTTTTCTTATTTTATGAAATAGGTTTATTCTATATTTGGTTTAATGAAACATTTCTTCATAATTAGAAGTCTCATGAAATGTACCCATCAAATTTCCTATTTAAAGAAAACATTTTGTATTTCTTAGTTTCTAATGTGAGTACTTAGGAACAGGCTTATTTTAAAGCTTTTAGATTGGCAAAGTGGTTTTCCAACTCATTAATCCAACATTATGTTTGGATTTGAGAAACAGAAACAATTTTTACACAATAAACTTGTACCTAATTTTCAAATCCCACCACCATAAATTATAGAGTAAGGGCACTCTTCTACAATAACCAGGTTATGGAATACTTCGACCTAATACTTTATGTCAGGTTCTCAGTCACCCACTTTTGATTTTAGGATGGGAATATTTGGCTTTCTTTTGATGATATCCATTTCCTTTGGAATTTTCATTTTTTAAATTTTAATATTAGATAGAATGGGCCCCACTTGTATTTCTTCTCTGGTCCTTTTGTATAAAATACATCTGTTTCCTTAGTCGGCACGTCGTATGTTTTAGTCTTCATATTTTCCTTTGTGTCTGTTTGGTTTGTTTGTTTGTTTATTTTAACTATCAATCTTGTAATTTCAAAAGTATGAATTACTCTACTGGAAACCAGATACTTCTTTTTTTTTTTTTTTCAAAGTCACATTGTCTCATTTTGTGTTTTTTCTCTGTTCAATTTCAAGGTTAGTCATTCAAGAAAAAAAGAATTTTTCCTATTTATTTAATAAAAATGTTGAACCTGTGAATGCAGTAGTTCTCGCTGATTATATAAAATGCTAGTTATAAATGAATCTTCACTATTGTGCTTTCATTTTCAGAAATACATTTCTTGGTTTTAATATGCCCTACCTTTGGGCAATCCCATATCTGCCAGTCTTCTCTGAAATCACATATAGACAAGACTGAAACATTCTGGACTCTTTTTAGCCACTGCAAACATATGCGTTCATCGGTAACCCACGTGAGCCAACTGAAATAATAGTCACTGAAAATAAATCAAAACAGACAGTCACAACCATAAACCAATATCACACTTAAATAATTTTTTAATTTCTGTTTTCTAGAGGATATATGTTATAATTATGGAATACTTATTCAAGAGACAAGGAAGACGAAGTTTTCTTTTCTTAGAGGAAAAAGTTTAATTATATCAGCTGACTTGTAAAGACTATGAGAGTACATTTATCCAATGAAATAATTTCATATTTGAGTGTTCTCCTCAATTTTGACTCTTTACATCTTAGGAAAGAATTTAAGACATAAGCCAAAGCTGTTGGTAAATATAAAAGTGGGAAATTCATTAAATTGGCTATTTTGAACAGATAACTTAACTTTTCAGTTTTAATTAGCTGAAAGAGAGCCAAGCACAGTGAAAAGACCATCTTTGTCTCCAGACAGGTTTATGCTGGAAGCCCAGTTTAACTGTCACCATGGTCAGGTGTTAAAATCCAGGCTAGTGTAATAGTCAGAGATGATATATATGAGAAATCCTAAGAATATTTTGCACACACTAGGTGTCGATGAGTAGTAGCAATGATTACTTGGTACTGAGGATGAGTGTGTCGATAGGCAACAATAATGTAAAATGATCCCAGAATATTGGACATCAGTGTAAAAGAAATCACAGAGTTAGAAGGGGTCTCAGGCTTAAATCTAGGGTTTTTATCCTACTAGATTTATAACTTTATACCAGTTACTTAATCATTCTGTGTCTCTGTTTCTTTAGTAAATGGAAATGACAATATTGCCAATTTTTAAAGCTTGCTGTATAGATTAACCGAGAGTGCTTAAGAAATTTACCTGCTAAGGACCAGCAGTTAGCATAGTAGCTATGCTGCTGGACTCCCATGTAGTCAACCGTGGTTAGAATCCTGGACCCGGTGGCTTAAACTCACACCAGGCATGTGTGCATGCGTGTGTGCGTGCCCAAGATCTGAGAGGAGAATGGAGGAGAAGGAGAAGGGATTGAGGCGTGGCCATCCCCCCTTGGGGGGTGATTTTTCGCTTTCTGTCTCTGTCTCTCTCTGTCTTTCTGACAAGCGCACATGCCCTATAGCAAAAACAGCTCAAAAAAAAAAAAAAAAAAAAAAAAAAAAAAAAAATTTACCTGCTACATAAAGAGTGCTCAATCCATGTCAGCTCTTACCATTATTGCATTGATATTTCACAGATGTTCAAGCAAGCCTTTTGACACCTTATATGGTGCTATTCCTACCATTCCATTTGCAACTTAGTGACATTTTTTTCCAACAAAAAAAATTAATGCATTTAGTTAAGTTTTAATTAACTAGATTTGGTCAGAATAGCAGATAATTCAAAAATTGAGGTCATTTTATGATTATCCAAGGTGGATTCACCTTGGTAAGTGCTGCAGATTCTTCTTTAGGGAGAAGAAAGAGAAAACCCAAGTCTTGGCTTGGGAAGCACTGAGGAGAACCAACAGGCAGGACTTGGGAGCCACCACTCCTCATGTATGTCAACCAGAAAGGTTGCAGAAGACTGACTGTGGGGCTGGAAGGTTGTTATGACCAGGACTGAACAGACGAGACCATGACATCTGTACATCTGAAGAAAGTTTCACATAGGTCCATCATTGTGGACATCTTTATATGTGTAAAAGAGCTACTTTTTAAAAACCAATTTGAGAACCATATTTTTGGTTTTTAATTTTGTATGTATCTAGCTTTGCATACTAATTTTATGTATGCATGCATGCATGTATTTTTGCGTGTAGTGTGCACATTGTAAACTCACTAGCAACGAAATGCAAACCACGATTAAGAAATTTGGAAGATTAAAATTTGATTTAAAAGATGGTAGGGATCTGAGATTAATTACCTTGAAGCTATCATTGTGGGAACTGGCACTTCTCTGGGACCTACATGGGCAGGATAAGTGGTATCAATAATAAATATGCGAACAACGGGATTCTTAGCTCCAGCCTGCCAAGAAAATGGAGATATATAAGCTCATAAAATTCCAACTATCACCAACACTTTAAAGACACCTCAGGAATTTAAGCTTACTTTTTATAAACTAAGAATATTAAGTATATTACTGTTGAAGACATTTTATTTTTAACATGACCAGAAATTTTATTTCAATTTTACTTGCAGGGCAATTATAAATGTATCAAACAGGGTGAGAACACTATTTTAAATACTTAAGGAAAGGGCTTTGATTTACAGAGGAAAATATTTTGGATTTGCAAATGCAGTGCTATGGTTCCTGTTCCCTTTTCTGATTTTCAAGACAATTCTCTCATTATTAATATTACTGGGATAATTCTAATAATCGTATTTCAGTGTGCTAAAGAAATACATTGGGAGACTGGTTTAAGAGGAGAGTAGAAAAATAAAGATACTACTTTTTGCTTTTTCTAAATAATTTGGTTTAAGATTACAAAAAAAAAAAAAAAAACCCTCCCTTTCTACGCCCCTTTGTTTATTCTGCCATAATTCTAATAATCGTATTTCAGTGTGCTAAAGAAATACATTGGGAGACTGGTTTAAGAGGAGAGTAGAAAAATAAAGATACTACTTTTTGCTTTTTCTAAATAATTTGGTTTAAGATTACAAAAAAAAAAAAAAAAACACCTCACTTTCCTAGCCACTTGTGTTACTACTGCTATGATCTCCCAAAAGATTATGAACATTTCACCTCTAAATAAAATGTCCATGGGATTTATACCTTTCTCGTTTTGTGCTTTCTGTGCCTGAAATGTGCATGACAGCATAGCTCATGTCTAGACAGCTTCTTAGGGTTTCCCTATTGTTTTATCAAAGAAAAAGAATCTTAAAAGTTAGAGCAAAATTTAATTCCCAATGTGGATGATTCAATGCTGTGGGAATCCATCTGAACAAGTGTTCAGTATCTCCATAGGCCTCCCTGTTTCACTCTCAGGCTTAAATTGACACTTCCTTGGTCTCACCTCTATCCTGCAACTCATCAAAGGCATATGAGAATTGCAGCCCCAGATTCCCAGCCAGTGTCAGTCACTCTTTTGTCCTGGATTTTCTCATCTTTTCTGGCTCTTATAAACCCTCCCAAAGATCTCCGTTGTTTCACATCTTGGGTCTCAAGTATCAGGCCTCTCACTTTCTAACATCTCCAGATTTCAGACTTCCTCTATAGCTCTTGAGGAGGAAACTCCTATCTAAACACTCATCTCCTATCCATTGCCTGCTCTCAAATGACATTGAACATGAATATTAGACTATCTGCAATGTGATTTCTTTCTCTGTGACCACTTTGACTTGCTTCAGAATCCATGTGTGTGTCTGTCACATCCACCCATCTATTACATAAAGGGACCATTGAATCCTTTTGTGACAACAGTCCATTTGCCAAGTCAAAGCAACAGTAACCATACGACAAAGAGTCACAGTCTAAAATCCAGTTCCTTGTATAAGAGGTCAAATTGGGTTTTGAGTCCCTCTTTCAGAATTCTTGTCTAAACTGAAACTAGGATACAACGCTCCTTCACTGTGATCAGGCCATTCTCCTACTGCACACTAAGGTTTCCTTTCTTCAGACATGGAACTGAATAAAATGTATGTATGATACGAATCTCTAGAATGTTAAATGGGTTCACACCATTCTAATTCCCGCATGGAAGAAACTGAGGTCAACAAGCTTAACCTTCCTTGTAAATCCAGATTAGACCATAACTCATACATGCTCCTACCTTGTAGGGACATAAAATTCAACATTTGTATTTCTTATTCTAGTTAGCATTTACATGAGAATTCAATAGAGAATGGCAAAACAGAACTTTACCCTGAATTTGGAGCATGAAATATGAAAAAAATTAAAATTAAGTTAAACTTGTTTTTCCTCTATGATCTAGACCATATGTTTTTCAAAGATTCTGCAATGGATTTTGCAAAGACTACTTCATCCAGCACAACCAGATGTCCAAAGCAACAGATGTCCACATAAATAATAGAGCACAGTACAATGTTTGCCTTACAATGCACAAGGATAAGAAGCTCTCCAAACTTGTTGATCCCACCTCTATTCATGGCAATGGTTGCTCATTTAGAAACCAGGAAAATGAAAGCATCTGCTAAAAGTATTCAACATACCTTTGGGTATGGAATATTTATTGTTCTAGGATACTGTTCATCACCATAATAGGAATAGGCAATAACTGGAATATCTGTATCATTAAATTCTGCATATGCCAAAAATTTTCCATTAGGAGACCACCAAAGTGCAAATTTTGTAGCAAGCATTTCCTCTGAAAAATAAATACTAGCTTGTTAATTAAAATTTTCATCTTACTTTAAAAATCATTATTAAATACTTTTAAATAGCTATTAATGAACTAAAAGTATGTCACATATGCTATACTTTGGTTATTTAAAAAAATAAATAACCTAAGAGAAATATTTTAACCTTGTATTCTATATCAACATCAATTAGTCTTGTTAGGAATTGACATCAATCAGAAATGTCATTTTTAAATAAATAATAAACATAATAACAATAATTAATTTTTCCCTTCAGGGCAATTTCTTGTTTTTATAGTCACTTAAAGTAGCCAAAATAGAGGAAGTATAATTGTAATACAGAAGGACATACCATTAAAGGTTGAATTAAAAGAAAATGTTCTGCTCAGATTATATATATATGGTCTTCAAAAACCTTATGAAAAATGTATCTTTTGAAAAACTATGCATGGATTTCAAAAAAATTTTTGCATCAAAATAAACTCTTACTTTAATTACATTTTTTCACACACTTTTTGAAAATGGAACAGATAGCCAGCTAGAGAGAGATTAGAAGACCTTTTCAAGTCCAGTTAAGTCCTGGATCCTACATAACCTATATGAGGACAAATTTCAAGATAGTATCAAAAACTAGGAATATTTTTCTGCAAAATAATAGCAGTTGTTTAGTTTTGGAAAAGGTTTCTCCCCCCCCACCCCGGGAATGTACTACCACAGCACCTAAGAAACATATACTTCTTGAAATGTAAATCATTCTTCTCACTTTCTAGTAATGTTTATGAAAATAAATTCTACCAATCTTCTGATATCTTTTAGAACATACACATCCTGTTCATAGTCTATTAATAGCTTTCAGAATTGCTACCATTTATCAAAATAAGATACCACTCATCTAAATCTTACTACATTTACAAAATGATTTTCAATTAAAAGCCTAAAGCAGCAGCAATAGAAAAAAAACGCAGCTTACCTTCATAAACCCAGTCTGGGATTCCATTAAATATTTTATTTTCTCTCCCATTAAATGTTATTTGAAAAGGTGGATCTCCTGGTCTTTGTTTTAAATAAATATTGTTTTGATAGACATATGCCTAGAAGTGGTTGAAAAGTTAGTCAATAAGGAGAAATTTCATAGCAAATACAATGAAGGCTGTATATTTGTCTTAATTATTCACCTAATACCTTAAAAAGAGCGGTAATTCAGATGTAAAAAAAAGACACAACCAAGCTACATTAATATCAATTATGATTTTAAAAGTCTATATCAAATGAATAGTAACGTTCACTGTTATATTAGCTGTTTTATTACCCAAATAATTACATATATTGACAGAAAGTCAAATAAATCTCTGAATATTAATAGCTAGCCAGATCTAATCTTTATTTAGAGTCCTTAAATAAGAGCTTGGACAAAATTTCATGTTGTCTGAAGCTAGTCTGGGAAACTTGTGAAAACCATATTTTTCCTGAGCTTTCTGGCACAACGCATTCTGGCTGAGTTTAAGGATAAAGTTTTTGACTGCGATATTTAAAGAAGTCTATCCATGAGCTTGAGATTTTGCGGAATTCTCAGATGGGTTTCAATTTATCAAAACTCTTCCCGTTTTTAACCACTAAAATAGTCATGAATGTATTTTTTTTCTTTCAGGCAGGCAAATTTAACAAAGGCCAAAATCAAATGGCTCCTCTTTTATTTAAATGATTAAACACTTCTATAATTTAAACACTTACTAATTTACTCCCAACAGGCGACCAGCATAAATACTGAATTGGGCGAGGAAGCTCATTTCCTCTTACAAATTCTCTAAGAGGAAAGAGAGAAAGAAGGATAAACAACAAACCCCGCTGTGCAATTCCAAAAAACAAAACAACAAAAAAATTGTGTAAACAGAAACAAATGGACAAATAATAAAAATTAAGGCTCATCTCCTTATGTCTACAAACATAATTTTAAAAATACAGAAACAAGGGACAAGAGACATTGGTGGTTGGTTGTTATTCTTCCTCTACTTTATAAAAAGTTGCTTAATCTTTCTGGGTCTCAGTTTTCTGACCTTTATACTGCGGTGAATGGATTAAAAATGCACAAACTACGAAAGCGTGAACATCTCTAGAGATTATCTAATAGAGCCCCTATGTTTTACAGATAATGTATGTGAGGCTTAGAGAGATGATAAGACTTTTTAAGGTCATATTGCTTAGTTCTTGGCAGACCCAGAATTAAACTGGAGGGTTTTTTTTTTTAACCCCTGGGCCTGTAAAATTTGCACACACCAGACTGAGCTGGTCACTGAAGTGCTTTCCAGTTCTGAAATTCTATAATTGTGCTGAAGTTTAATATGTGCTCTTCTACATTCTCATTCACAACCCCCATCTCTGTGAATGCATATGCATTTCAGATTTTTGAAAATAAGATGCCATTTGACAATCTCCCCAGGGATCTGACTTAAAATCAGAAAAGGAAAGGAACATCTGATCTCAAGCTAAACTGAAAAACAGATCGTATACTGGGCAGTATGCCTTATGCTTGCAAAGTCCTCTACCCATGGGGAAATTTCAAATATTCTATTGGCCAAAAATCTCACTTTGATGCTTCGAGTTACTCTGCAAGTACTCAAGTGAGTGACTTATATTGTAAGTCTTCAGCAAGAATGTATTCTGATTTTTTTGTGTTAACGTATCATAGGATGCCATGCTTACATTCTGACTTCTCTTAAATATCATATTAATAGTTTCATCAAGACTGCGTTTCTGAGCAAACAAATCAAGATCTGTTTCCAAAGTATTATTTCAGGAATCTAGAGAGACTCCCTGCCCATCCCCCTTCAAAAATTTCTTTCCGACTTAGAGCTGACATGTTTGACATTTCACGTTCCCATTTTTTTTCATGCTTGGACACATGTGAAGACCTGTAGCACATAATAGCATGATGTAACTTACTAGGTCATGTGGCATGAGGTCTAGCAAGCAAACAGGGAGCATGGCAGTTATTATGGAGAAAGAATGGTGCCCCTGGAGGAAGGTTACCCTTGGTGCTTCAGTAGCAACCTTACCTTCCAGGAGTCAGTATTTGAGCACCAGACCCCTGAGAGGTCAGGAACATGTTGAAAGAGATGTAGGAACACTGTCAAGGGAAGGACTCAGAGACAAGACATTCTACACTTAGTTTACAGTTCTGACTCAAGCCAGTGTTCATGCTCCCTTTGACACTGCAGCACTGTCGTAGTTTTTATACACAAAACCTTTGTCTATGCAATCATGTAGACAGCATCAAGCTGAAAATCTTCATTCATATCTCATCATAACTGGCAAACCTTCACTGCTGCCATTTGTTTTGTGTTCTGAGTCACCAATAGTAGGAGAGAAGAAGAAGGAAGAGGATTTAAAAGGCTATTGTTTCATAATTCCTTACCTAGCTTGAAACCAAACACCATCTTCATTTTCTTTTTTTCTTTTCTTTTTTTTTGGAGAGGTTTTTGCTATAGGGTATGCGCACTAGCCAGAAAGACAGAGAGAGACAAAGAGACGGAAAAAGAGTAATCACCTCCTAGGAGGGGTGCAGGCCCTTCTCTTCCATTCTCCTCTCGGGATCTTGGGCATGCACGCACACGTGCCCGGTGTGAACTTAAGGCACCGGGCCTGGGATTAGAACCATAATCAACTACATGGGAGTCCAGTGACATAGCCATTATGCCTATTGCTGGTCCCAATACCATTTTTATTTTCTCTGTGCTAGCTTTTCTAGTCTTCAAAACTATGTAAAGACTTGGCATTAGTGGCATTTGGTCTTGCCTTGAATCTCAACAAATTAATCATCCCTTACTCCCTAAAACATGCTGCATTTACCTGACTCCCCCCACCCTCCAAAGAAAATATGAAAAAAAAGATAGTTGTGCAGAAAACAAAAAGAAGCAAAAAAGAAATGAAAAAAAGGAAGAAAGAAAAAGAAAGAAAGAAAACAGTGGTTGGAATGAATTTGCTACAGACTTGCTATTTATCATAATTGTAGGCCTTGAAGGTTATACAAACTAAGATTAATATATTAGTGTATTTATCATCTTTTGGAATACTGTTCAATATTGTGAGCCTCAACTTAGAAAATTTCAAAGTGATTAAAAGAAAAACAAGGAAATGCGTAAAGCCTTAAGAAATTGTACCGAAAACTAAGATTCCCATATCACTAGTCTAAAGGTTTCTAGAGAGTAGACAGAGTTGGCACTCTGAGCTGATATGTATCTCCCCCATATATACTTTTCACATAATTGTTGCTGAATAAATACTTCTTTAATTTAGTGATGATGTGGATACAAAGAAGAGAAAGAATCAGAATGCATTAGATGGATTAAATTCTACTTTAAGCAGTAGTTCTTATTTCTTAATTTGACAGTTTAAGCAGATCAGAACTATTCTTTTCTGAACACTTAAGCAAAGTAGATAGATAATTTTTTTAAAAAAATGTCTATGTTCTTACGAGACAAAAGGGGAAATAGACCAGAAGATTTTTTCAATACCTCTTCAAACCATATAATTACTTTCCCCTTTTATATAACAGCAAAGACGATATCACATTAAGATGAGCAACTAAACCAATTCATTATCCACACTTAGCCAGAGTGATTTTTCTAAATTGCAAATCTGATTATGTTATTTCCCATTTAAGACCCATAAGTGATTCCTTATTGTCATCAGAAAGAAATCTAAATTCCTTCTAGTGGTTTCCTCACTGTTACCTGGCCAATGTTTCCTGGCCTCACTTTCTTCCCAGCTAGTTAGGCCACCTCCACTAGAGGGCCCTCCTCCTATTTCAGCTGAACAGACCTACTCTTGAGTTTCCTGAACACAGCACGCCCTCTCTTTCCTTGAACCTTTGTATATTTTTATTTCTTCCAGGAATATTCTCCCTCAGTCCTTTATCTACCTACACATTTACTAAAAGTTTTTCTTTTAAATGGCAAATATTTCAAAAATTTAAAAACATACATACAGGGTCAGAAAGTGGTATGGAGGTAAAGGCACTGAATCCCACATGGCCAGCTGTGTGGTTAGAGTACTGGATCTAGTGGCTTGGAAATCCTAAGGGAAGACTAGAGGAAAAGGAATTATGGCATGGTCACATTCTTGGGGGATGATTTCTCCTTCTCTCTCTCTCTGGTAAGCACATACACCCTATAGCAAAAACTAAAAACCAAACAAACAAAAAACAGCATACATACAAAGAAGATAAAAATAAATGACAATTTATGTACCATCTAAATTTAAGAGAGTATTTAACATTTTAAATGTTAAATAAAACATTTTTGCCATTTTAAGAATAATTAATTTTATCTATTATTTGCCAGAAGGCACTTTTGCTCGCCAGAGAGAAACATAGAGAGGCAGAGGGAGAACGCATCCCCCAGAATAGCATAGTCATGACCCAATCCCGTCTCCTCCATTTCTCCATCCTGTCAGGAAATGAGGTATGCACGCACATGAACTCAGTGTATTTCTCAAGGTGACAGGACCTAGACTTGAACCATGTGGTCGATATGTGGGCCTAGTTCCCAGGCCATGGATCCAGTCCTAAAAATAATTAATTTTAAATCAGTGAATGGAGTATTATACAACCTGAATATTACACAAATGAAATCCAGCACAACTAATGCTGCATCTGCTTCCTTTCTACCCTCTCTGATGAAGTAGCCATTCTCATAAAACGGTGTCTTGTTCCCATGAATGTTTCTGTATTTTTAAACATGTATTTATTTCCATAAATATCACATTTTTAATTTGGTTTTCAAAAGTAGGGAAAAAAAGACTACTATATCAAGTATAAAATGGCAAAATACTCTAGAGTAAAAACTCTCCTAAAAAAAAAAGGCAACATATTCAAATATTTGTCAAAGAAAAAGAAGGGAATAGCCCAAGGAAGTTTTTTTTTTTTCCTAAGTTTTATTGGTACCCATACAAGGGGAGTTTAAAAGTTCATGGAAAATGTGTATTATCAAAAGTTATGCACGAATTTCAAAAATGTTTTGGATAAAAAACTTTTACTTTAATTCAGTTTTTCCACAAACTTTTTGAAAGACCCTCAAATATTGTAAAAATGTAAGAAACTAAGGTTAGTAATTACTCTTAACTCCAAATCAGAGTTTGAAATGAGAAAGTCCAGGTATTAGACCAAAGAAGTATTAGCACATAAAGGTGATATTTTACTCATTTCTGAGGTCATAGATGTGATACGTTGCTGTATAAGAATATCGCCAGAGCTGTAAGAAAGAGAGGCAAAGACAAATTACAATTTTAAAAAAGCCTCTATCAATAATGTATAATCATAGATCATCCAATTCGAGATCTAGAATTATAAAAGAACTATTTTCACAAGGCACTGGGAAGGATATGTTTCCATTCCAAATGAGCCTTCATTTAAAGAGTTTTACTGTGGACTTTTGTGCTGTTTGTCCAAGTTCCAGAACTAATCTCAGAAATGATTCAAACCTCATTCCATAAAAAGCTTATCCAGAGACATTTCCTAATATAAAAAGCTTATCTTTGACACACTCTATCTTAGGAATTTTCCCTTCATGTTTTACTTTTTACCTGGAATGAAGTAAAACCACTATGATTTCCTCAGCCCCTAAGGATCAGCCTGCACCTGGGTAATTTATTACACTGATACTCTTAAAAACGGGGAAAAGAGAATTTCATTTAGCCTATGATTTAGCTACAAAATGCTTGCCTTTCTTTAGCTGAATAAAGTATTCTCGGTAATAGGAATTGAAAGCATAAATAGGAGGTATTTAACTTGCAATTCCTCCTGAACAAAGCAAGTTCTTTTCCTTAAGTTTGTTTGTGTTGCAGCCAGTGAATGATGCAAGTATTATTTTGAATTCTGTTTTTTACAAGGCTTTCAAAGTCTTGGCAAAAATAGTTCTATCAGGTTGGAATATGTCTTTCTGAAGATTGTTGCTGTCTGAGGCCAGCACCATTGGAAAATAATCAGCTGTAAAATCGACTGGGGAGGGAGGTAAGTTTACATTTTTGTACTGTATGTCCAGGTGGTTTAGCATCTCAAGAAGTTAAAAAAAATAGTAGTCAAAATGAAAGGCTCTTCACCTGAAAGTAACTATCAGGAATTTAACTTGATAGTAAATTATTTTCTACTTTTGCTAGTATAATTAGAAAAAATAAGATGATCACCTTCCCTCTGCAGCTGTGTTCAGGAAGTGTTAATTAAGTTCCACCAAATAGTCTAGTTTGTTGGGAACATACTTAAACTGGGCCTTTAGCAACACATACTTAAACCCTGGTGTGCCACTGACCATATATTATTATGTTTGAGTATGTGAGTTAATTATGCTCCCTCTTGACGTTTCCATTTTCAATAGAAAATTTTCATAAGATTAAAATATATATGGATCGAGTGGTTTAATGCTATAAAATAGCTTTAGAAATACAAAACTAGTTCTTTCCTTTCTGATGACTATAAGTGCCCTCAAGTGAAATGTTCTTCTTCCAGAAGAAAGTAGGTTCTGCTACTTGAAAAAGAGAAAAGAAATTGCCAAATTCTGATTTATATGTTATAGGTTTCGCTCTACATTAACTTCCTGAATATTTAGAGATAAGAGTCACTCTTGCCTTCTCTTACTTGTATAATATGACCTGTAGGGTAAAGGGGGTTACAATCATACAAGATATACTTAAATTAAATAGTTAATACCTTTGAATAATCACTTTCTAGATACACAAATTGCCGATCAGGTGATAAGCCATAATTTGAAGCATTCACACTTTTCTGAAATGATAAAGAAGAAACAAGTTATGTAAATTGGTAGCTCTAAAAGAATACTGTCATTGATATACTCCTGCCTATATATACTTTCAACGCAACTGAAAAAATAAAGTTTATGCAATACTCACAGATACAGATAAAGTTACTGTATGCAATAAATAAGATATACTTTTGGATTTCAAGAAGCTTATAATGTTAAAGTTGTAAATAAGTAACATTACTATTCTGAACGTTCTATGAAAGAGATTCAATACAGTACTGCAAAAATATTAAGGAAGAAGTGATTGAATCCAAATGAGGGGTCATTGACTGCACAGAGGAGGGTTTTGTTATCTAAGATTCCTTTTAAAAGATTAGTATAATAAAAAAAATTAAATTTGTTATAGAGCACATACACTCGCCAGAGAAAGAGAGAGAGAGAAAGCAAGAAAGCATGTCCCCAAGGGGGATGGCCATGCCACAATTCCTTCTCCTTCCCATTCTCCTCTCAGGAATTTAATCACACACAGACTTGCACCTAGCATGTGAATTTTCAAGCCACCAGGTCAAAGACTTGAACTGTAGGTTTGATCATAGAGGATCCAGCTGCCTCAACCACCACACTGCTGGCTGGCCCAAGATTAGTAGGATTCGAGAAGTGGAGAAGGTAGGAAGATTGAGAGCCCAGGAAGGCAGGACAGCCTGTGTCCATATACCATAGCTGCCATTTTTTGAATATATTAGACACTATCCTAAACACTTAAGAATGTTATTTTATTTAATTCTTACATTAATCCACAGAGGTATTACTACTCCCACTTTACAGAGGAAGAAACCAAGGCATAGCGAGGTTGGTGTAGTGTAGAAACTTACCCCAGGTTCCACAAGTAGTAAGTGACAGAGCCAAGATTTGATCCTCAATTTATCTGATTTTAAGGACCAAAATATTTTTATTTATTTATTTGTTTAAATTTAATTTCCAGAGGGTGCGTGTTCTTGCCAGTGAGAGTAAAGATAGAGAAAGAGAAAGCGCTGTCCAGTGGGACATGGTCACGCACACATTATCCTCCATTTTTTCATCTTGTTGGAGTTTAGGGCACCCAAGTGCAGGTGCCTTGAGTGTTTTATAAGCTGCCAAGGCCGAGATTCAAACCATGTCAGCCTGTGGGATCCGGCTCCCTTAACCACTAGGCCACAGAGTCAGCCCTAGGACTGATTTCTTGTCTTACCTTATACCACACTATTTCCAAAGAGAAGGAAAGATGCTACGTGATTTAGATGAAGGTGAGGATTTACTGTAATTACAAAAGAGAAAACTGGAGGATTATGTTGAGATGGAACAGGGAAAGCAGGTTGAGTCCAGATCAGGTGCTAAGAATTCAAATGCAGTTTCTTTATCAGTAAAAAGCTAGCAAAGATTTCTAAGGAGGAAGATAATGCTGGATACATACCATGGTACTATTACTCAAAATGGTATATGATTCTCCTGTTTCAATATTATAAAATATTATATTATTATCTGTAGATTGGCGAAGATATTCTTGCCCTTCAAACAAGAAAGAAAAAAGAAACTTGAAATGATCTTTTTTTTTTTTCAAGAAATACACATGTAACGAAAGATACCTCTCTTATTTCACATTTTTGTTTTTCCTTTCTGTCTGACACATATTGCTTTGTCAGATTTAAAACAATAAGTGGTTGGTGGGAGAAAGGAAAGGATACTTTTGTAACTGCACACAAAGGTGGCGTATTTGCTAGCAGCACCCTTAGTTTACTAATGCAGGGTGCTTAGACATAACGTTTATTGTCTCTGAGTTACAAAGAGCATGCACTAGCTCTTGGTACATTTCTTTGGTAATAGTAAATCATATCTGGGTAGTGTTAAATAGTTAAAAGCCTACTTTACATAAATTTTATTTCTTAGAGAGAAAAATGAAAATATTTAATTTTGCTTAGAGACACATAATATATACAAAGGTCACATTGTAAACATTTAGTTGATCTCATCATTTATATGGTTAGAATTATTTGATAAATACTATTTGAGGAAGATTATTTAGAATTATTTGATAAATACTATTTGAGGAACTATATACAAATATATAATCCTTAAACAGCTTGGTGTTAAAGTAAAATACAGTCTACTTTCTAGATTATCCAGACAAACTAAGGAATTTCTTACGTAAAATTCTCATGACTTCTGAACAATTGCATATCTCCCTTTCTCAAAAGCTACAATTGACACTCCAATTATTTCAACAGTGCCTTTGTGACTTTTAATTTTATGTTTAAACTCTACTGGCTTTATTATTATTGGGCAAATCCAGACTGAATGATTTTGTCAAAAGTACATTGGGTGTTTGAGCTGACAAGATAATTAATTGACCTTTCTGTCCATTTCAATGGCTATGATCTCAGTTGCCATAGAGATGCACTGACTCCAAGAACAAAACAAAAGAAAATATCCTTTAAAAATTCCCCCAAAACAAACAAACAAAAATTCACTTACCTGAAATCCAGTTTGGAAAAAATGTTTTATAAGAAAATGTCCCATTTAAAATATCCTTCAGTGTGAGTGCTCTTGTCGTACTTCCCTCAGAGTTAGGGACTATAAGGGAGAAGGAAACTCATTATTATTAATTAAAAGCTTAATAACTCCAAAAAATGTCATTTATTTATTTATTTATTTATTTTGCTAGAAAGTATGTGCTTCTGGCAGAGGAAAACAGAGAGAGAGAGGAGAAAGCACTATGGGAAAGGGTTACTCCACAAATTCTTCTCCATTTTTTCTCTCTCCTTTCAGGATTTTGGGCAGGCACGCACATGCACATGGAGTGTTTCTCAAGCTGCCAGGTCTGGTATTCAAAGTGTGAGGTCATCTCTGTGGGATCTGGCTGCCTCAGTGACTATGTCATGGAGCTGGCCCATTTCTACCCTGAACTTCACCTGTTCTTTCTCATATAATAAGATCTGCCATTTGCTAAATTCTTGTTTAACTCTACCTTAATAACTGTGAAAGGGTCTTTGAACAATTCATGGAAAATGCGTGCTATAAAATAACTCTTCCTAGATTTTCTTTTTTGTTGTTGTACCAATGTGAACTCATACGTTGATCCCATTTTTCTATGAACTTTTTAAAGTTTTCTTGTATTATTTCCTTTTTTGTAAATAGGGTAACCAAGGCTTAGAGAAGATGTTTCCCTGGAAGGGAAAAATGATAGGGAAATGTAGAAGAAGATGAAGTTTGAAGAAAAGGATGGTGTAGAACAGATATTAATTTTTAAGAAGTGAAAGGTTATTAGGGGTTTGAGGAGGAAGATGAGAGAAGGTTCCTACAACTCTAGGCCTTGCAGAGTTGAGGTTACAGTCAAACCAGGTGAGTTTAACTAAAAATCCAGACTCTTAAGCAGCTCATTGCATTCCTACCATACATGTGGCTTGGAATTCTACAGATATGCCCATGATATATTTCAGCATCCAGTTGGCCAGATGGTATTGGGCACATACAAGCCTTTGGAAACCTCAAGAGAGGTTCTAATGAACATAGGAAATCTTTCTTGACTATGTGTTTTTATACAGAGAAAGTAGACTGGAAGAAAAAAATTCAGAGAGTAGAGGTTTTCCACAGAAAAGCTAATCTAATATAGCTCACAAACCACAAGTATATTTTATTTATTTGAATCTTTCAGACAACTTATTTTGCAAACATGAGCCCCCGAAAGTCAGATATACCAGATAAATAATACAATCACTTCCTCCTATGCCCCCTTCATTCCCACATTGCCATCCTCCATTTCTCTCACCTTACCCCTCCTTGAGATACCACTTAATGGAATCAAAATATATAGAAATGCCCCATACCTTGATGCATTTAATTATCTGGCATAGGCCCAGGTGAAAATACAACTGGTAAGGATGAGAGCTATAGTTTTATCCTTGTACCAACTCCATAGCTTTCTATGACTCTTCAGATAAAGACCAAAAATGATAATCTGGACTATAGACCTGGCTCATCTGGGATGGCTGACCTACCAGTCCTTCCTGCCCTCTGTTCTTTCTGTCTAGACTTCAGACATTCTGGGCTTTCTGTTTCTCACAAATTATTTCTTTGTGAAGAGTTTTTGTACCTCTTTTCACCCTCTTCCTTTACCTTGTAATTTCTATTCAGCTTTCAGTGCTCAATTCATGGGGTACTTCCTCTGGGAATCCTTCTCAGTCCCTTAGCTTGGAGACAGGGTTCCTCATTACATGTTTCCATTGACTATGTTCCTTTCCTTCAGAGTACTTGCCTTGGTTTGTAATCATGTGTGTATTTGAATAATCATTTAATTAATTTTTGTCTACCTCCAACCATATAATCAAAACAATTACCATGGGGCCGGTAGGTGGTGTGGTGATTAAGGGCACCGGACTCTGATATGGCCGACTGTGGTTCGAGTCCCAGACATGGTAGCTTGCTTTCTCACATTACCTCTCTCTCCCTCTCTTTCACTCTGTCCCTCTCTGATCAAATTTAAATAAGTAACTAAGTAAAGTTAAATAAAATAATTCTTTTTGTTGTTGTTGTTGAGAGGTTTTTACTAGAGGACACCGTGAGCTCACCAGAAAGACAGAGAGAGACAGAGAGACAGAAAACAAGAAATCACCACCACCTCCCCATGGGGGATGGCCACATTGCAATCCCTTCTCCTCTGTTCTCCTCTCGGGATCTTGAGCACACATGCACACGTGTCCAGTGTGAGTTTAAGCCACCAGGTCCAGGACTCGAACCAGGATCAACTACATGGGAGTTCAGGGACATAGCAATTACGCTAACTGCTGGTCCCAATAAAATAATTCTTAAAAAAAAAAAAGTTACCAAAATAATAGGGACCATGTTTTGTTTTACTTGTCACCGCATTCCCAGAGTCTATCACATATAAGCTTTCAATAAATATTTCTTCAATGAATGAATGCATGAAACGGAAGATAGATGGATGAATGAATAGACAGATGGATGAGATTTATTTCTGGCCCCTCTGTTATTGTTTTTGGTGTGGGTTTGGTGAATTGATGTCTGGCACAGAAGATTGCTAATCTAGAATATGAAGGATTTGACTCTGAGATGTGGACTATCTCTTACAGCTCTCATCTTTATGCCATACTAGATTTTGAAACGTGAAACGCAACCTACTGTATCAACTTTGCAGTGTTGTAAATGAATTGCCATATAATAAAAGCAAAAATGATCAACTTTAGGATAATAGCATCTCCTACATTTTAAATGATTCATGTTGATGTATGCATGCTCCACAATTTGATTAGGTTCATGGGTTTGTTTACTTTTTTTTTTTTCTTAATTTAACAAAACTTATTCTAGTGGCTATAAGAACATGGTGACTGGCAAACTTCTTTGCAACTAGTCACTGAATACTTAATGATTAAGTTATACTTTTTTTTTTTTCAAAGAGATTTTAGCACGTGTGCCCACCAGAGAAACAGAGACAAGGAGACAGAAAGAAAGAAACACCTTTGAGGGAGAATGGCCATGCAGCAATTGCTTCTCTTCTATTCTCCTCCTGGGATCTTAAGCATGCATGCCCACATGCCTGGTGTGAGTTTGAAGCCATCAGGTCCAAGACTCAAGCCCCAGTCAGCCAAGTGGGAGTCCAGCAATTTAACTACTACATCATCTGCTGGCCTGTAAGTTGTACTATTTTAAAAATAATAATCTTTCCACATTTTCTCTGCAGCTTAAATAGGTTGTGTACATGATATTATTATTTATAATGAAAGTTCTATTTAATTAAATGTCCTTGTGCAAAATTTATACCACTGATTTTGTAATTCCCATTCAATGAATAAAAGACTATTTACTGGGGCTAGCAGGTGGTGTGGTAGTTAAGGCATGGACTCCCACATGGCTGACAGTGGTTCAAGTCCAAGACCTGGTATCTTGAAAATCATGTCAGACACAGGTGTGTACATGCCCAAAATTCCAGTAGGAGAATGGAAGAGAAGGATTTGCAGCATAGTAATTGCTCTTAGGGGGTGATTTCTCATTACCCCTCTCTCTCTGTCTCTTTCTGGCTAGTACACATGCCCTATGGCAAAAATCTAAAAATAAAATAAAGTAAAGGCCATTTACTACAATAGCATTAGAATAGTTGCCAAATATTTAATACAATTTTATTTAGTACTCCTAAGAGAAAATTGCAATCTGTTTTTAATATAGTCAAGGGAAAATTTTAACACTACTGATCATGGAAATTATTTTCCATTTGAGATCCATTTAGCTTTGTCTGTATAATCCTGAATATCCAGATGGAAAAATTTAAAACTTAGTGAATCCATTTACTGTGAATACCAAAATAACCAGATAATTAAGACTTTTAAAATATTAATTCAATAAAATGAATATTATTTCTGCATTTTTCTTTTAAAGTCTAGCATAAATAACGTGTTGGATATGGTTAGTGACTTATAGTTTTTTTTCCTATTTAAGTATCCTTGCAATATAATCATTTTTACTTCCAGTTTTGGTTGAGATAGTCAAAGCTGTAAGTAAGCTTCATTTTTATAGAAGATTAAATTAAGTGAGATAATTCAAGTAAAGCATTTAGTTTTATGTTTGGTACAGGTTAAGCTGTCTGTAATTTTTATTTCCCCACTATGGGGCACTCACTAGAGACAGGCAGAGAGAGAGAGTGAGGGAAAGTGAGAAATCACTCCTCTAGTGGGGAGGAGGGAGGGCACAGGAGGAGGGGGTGGGAGAGGAGGAAGTGGGGAGAACAGCAGATTGCATAATGGCTACATCACTGAATTCCCATGTAGTTGTCCACTGTTCAAGTTCCAGATCCACTGATTTAAAACTCACGTCAAGGGTGCGTGTATGCATGTGTACTCAAGATCCTGAGACAAGAATGGAGAAGGGACTGTTGTGTTCTTTCTATCTTTCTACTCTATGTCTCCCTGGTGACATAGAGTCCTATAGCAAAAATCTCTCGCTAAAAAGAAAAAAGAAAATCACACCTGGTGTGTGTGCGTGTGTGTGTGTGTGTGTGCGTGTGTACGCGCACGTTTATGTCCAAGATCTCAAGAGAAGAAAGAATTGCAGTGTGGCCATCCTTCCTAGCAAGTGATTTCTCACTGTCCCTCTCACTTGTCTTTGTTTCCTTCTCCATTGAGTGCATGCGCCCTATAGAAAAACTTAATTTTTAAAAAAATAAATAAATAAAAAATTATTTTCTGGGACCAGCAGTTGGCGAAATGGCTATGTCACTGGACTCCCATGTAGTCAATCGTGGTTTCAGTCCTGGACCCGGTGGCTTAAACTCATGCAGGTGTATGTGCATACATGCGTGCCCAAGATACCGAGAGGAGAATGGAGGAGAAGGGATTGTGGCGCGGTCATCGCCCTTGGAAGGTGATTTCTCACTTTCTGTCTCTCTGTCTCTCTCTGTTTTTCTGGCGAGCTCACATGCCTTATATCAAAAAAAACTCAAAAAAAAAAGTATTTTCTAAAACCACAGTTTGGGAAATGTAGTTTCAGGTTAGACTATTAGTATATACAATTAAGTTCTACTTTGATTCTAGTTTAATGAAATTCATAGCTTATACTTGGAACAT